TGCCGCAAATTATAAATTTGAGAAAAATAAATTAACAAATAAATAAATAAATGAGGCGGTGGAGAATGAAAGAGACCGAGTGTTGGATTTTTCAAAAAATTTTGGCAGCATTTCGTTACGCCCATGGGGTCGAAGTTTGCTGACAAAGATATGACTAAGTAAGAGGGGAGAGAGTAGGGAGAAAAAAAAAAATTTGGCAACACTTCGTTACCCCCACAGGGTAAAAATGTGCGCCGAGAGCTAAAATAACTGTCTTAAACAGATCTAGAGGTGCCGCAAAAAAAAATGAATTTTTTGAATAAATAAAAATAAAATAAATGAGAAAAATGAGAAAGAAGAAGAGAATAAGAGAATTTGAATTTTGAAAGAAAAGAGGATATTTAAATATAAAAGAAGGATAAAACGAAGAAAAACATAGAAAATTTGAAGTTGGGGGGGGAAGGGGATGAAAAAGTGAAGAAAGAAGAGGGAAATAAGTGAGAAAGAGAAAAAGATTGAAGTGGGAGGTGGGGGGATTATTAGGTTGTATTTGAGGGAGGGAAGGGGGTTAGAAGAGTGGGAGAATGAGAGAGAAAGGGATGAAAAAGGTGGAGTAGAAGATGGTGAGTGGGGAGGGGAGGAGAAAAAAGATGGTGGAAGATGAGTGAAGAGGTAGGTATAAGAATAACCGGGCGAAGAACTGTCACCCGAATAGAACGCCGAACAGGTGACTAAGGGACCACTGCCATCGGCGGTGGCGCTTAACGCACGCGCGACCAAGGGAGGGCGCTAGCTTACGCCATGTCACGGGCTAACGTGGATAGTAAGATGATTCATGGCAGCGGTGTTTGAAGTTTGTGCCTCCAATGCGGCAGACCGTGAATTCCGCAGACACTGTCTAAGTTCACAACGAAAATAGTTGTTGTACACGACCGTCAGAGTAAAACTCATTCCCATCTCTGAAGGAGAGAGGCGGAGGAAGTCTTTCAAAGGATCAAAGTGTGGTTTTCGAGTGGAAGCCGTTTTCTACGAAATTCATTAGCGAAAGTCAGAATTGACGAACAAAGCTTACGACAACAAGGCTACGATGGGCGCAGCGTGAAGACTTTTTTTCGGCATCACATCGTCTCAATCTAGTTTAAAATGCAACTTAATTAGAGATAGGGTGGATTGGACGGATGACCTCCACATTCATCCTCACATATTTCGTCATCATCCTTTTACATCCAATGACATACAATTGCCAATGCTCATTGATAGTCGAAGATAGTCATCTCGTTTGCATTATGCATCAGCAGTGACCATAATACGGGATAATTTTTTACATGGATAGGTCAAAGTCATAGAAGGTGGAGGGAGTTCAAGTATAAGGAAATATACCGATAGCATAAGGAGAGTCACGACAGTTTCACGGGGAGTTGATGATCTCAACGGGAGCAGCAAGGCGACATATATAAGGTGTGTTTGCCCTCGTCGCCTCAACCTACCTCTATCGTACCCTTCGGTTCCTTCCCTTACCTCCCTTTCCCCCGGGTGGGAGTTCTCCCCGAGCCAGGATCTGCTGAATGTCATACCCAACGATAGAAAGTTTCTTCAATAATCAACAAGTAACAGACCATCAAATATTTTTTCATGAAGAAAGGTCCCTTTCGTCGACAAATGAATTGAACGAATTCTAATTCTCTCTCTGTAAAGTTCTCGTACTCTCGTAGGTCAACTGTTGATAGTGGGTTAACAGGGTGTCCCTTTACATTCCACTTCTCTCGTGGAAACACCTTTTTCACCCCCCTTGTCATCTCCCCAGTAGTATCGATCGATCTTTTTCCCCCCCCTGTCCCAAGTGCGTCCTAGTCTTTGAACAACTCTTCCTTCTCAACTACTCATTACTTACCATCCCTCCTAAGCATTACCTAGCCTCCCCCCCTTCATCACGACTCCCTCCTCCTTGAACTCAACCGTAATCCGTTTTTCTTACTCACCTACTCAGCCCTACGCATTACCCAGCAATCCCCCCCCTTCACGGCCCCTTCTTCCTTGAACTCAACCGTAATCCGCTCTTCTTACCCTCCTACTTAGCGACTCATTACCTAGTATTTCTCTCCTCAACATGTCTCCCTCATCGAATTCAACAGTAAATCACCGCTGTGTATTCCCTCCTCTCCCTTTACAGTCTTAATCACCCATCAGCCATCCTCATCCAGATTCTCTTCGGTACTACCTCTCTCCTTTAGAATCGCAACCTTTTACACCTCCTCTCTTTAATTAATTGGAGAAAATGCAAATGCAGTCCAAACAGGCGAAGGGACCCGACTCATTATTGTTTTACCAAGGCACAATGCGCCAGCACCTCTTCAGACAACTAGGGGCATTGCCATATGCCAGACCCAGTGTTGTGCCGTCGTCAGAACAGAGCTCCTCCCTGCCAGCGCCTCAGGGGGAAAATGTATGGAGACAGAGAAATGCGGCAAGGTGGTTGTCACAAGCCACATCTGTTTCAAACCATACCCATCTCACATCAAACTCGTCTCTATCAACTCAAAATTCATAAACATCGCAACTAACATCCTCTCAGCTACACGATCACTCCGGTCAAGTGCAAACTCAAAACAACCACCAAACACAACACATCACGACAATGGAACAAGACAATCGGATAGAGGAAAAGGCCAAACAACTTGAAACAAGGAATTATTCCCCCACAACACTCCTCACAGACAGGAATGGAAGAAAACGGTGAGAAAGAAGATTGCATCATGCACGAAGGTGAAGAAATTCCTACAGAAGAAGAATGAAGGTGGGAACAGAGTCTCTCGGCCCAAAACCAATCCAACTCCCAATCCCAGGCCAAAACTCATACTTTAGATAAGGGAAATGAACCACCAACACAGACATGGGCTCAAAGGGTGAGACTGGCACTTCAAGAGAAAACGTTGAATGTGCCACGACCTGCAGTGGACCCCCAAGGTGATCCCGCGGAAGAGCTAAGGATCCCGCTCATAAATCTTTCTTCGGCCAGAGCTTATTTCTTAACTCTGCTTTTTATTTCGTCATAACAAAAGGTAATTGATCAAGGGGGTAGGAAAATGTTGATGATATCCTACCCCACAGACAAACTGGCGCAGCGGGACGCACTGTACATTAAGTACGCTAGTAACTGGATCTTTTTCAATGACGACGCGTTTAGATCAACGAACGACAAAATTAAATAGATATGCAAGAGACTAGAAACGATGAAAGGGAATGGAGAAGCAATTTCTGATTTTTTTTTTATTCAACCAGTGTCACCCACTGTCTATACAGTTCTGTGTCTGTTCAAAAATGACAAGAAAACAATGGATGGTTGGAAGAAACTCACATGGGGGGATTCACAAGTCAGGATCTACCCTTGGCTGTCGAAAAAGATCGAACCGGAAGAGAGGAGAGAACAACTCATGAGAGACCACTATTGGGTGGAACTAAGGCACATCCCCATCCAGGTGCAGGCAACTTTCGTCCATGATTTCGGGCAGCAATTCAAGGTGGTGGATTTCATTGATCCCCTTCCTTCCCATGTCGCAAAGAGGGATGACTACCTCATGTTTACCCTTGACTTACAGAAGGACCAACCTTTTTCAATGGATGATATCATACCTTATAAATTGGGGTGAAGGATCTACCAAATACACACAGCACACAAATTCAGACCCAGATGTTTCTCTTGAGTTTCTGTCCCGGATCGCATAGGGGAGGGGGGTTGATCTCCCTCTCCCTTTTTTTTTTCTGCAAAATCTCTGGTTTGTATTGCTTGCAAAATCGAAGTGCCCTTCGGGAAAAGGTCGCGAATGCCATGTTTGCAATTTGATCACATAGGGGAGGGGGGTGGATCTCCCTCTCCCTTTTTTTTTTTCCCGAAATTTGTAGTCTGTGTTGCTTGCAAAATCGAAATGCCGTTCAGGAAAAGGTCGTCAATGCCACCGGGGGGTCCGTCCCTTCCCCTCCCTCTCGCAGCACCGGGGGGGGGGTCCGGCGTTCCGAGAACGCCGGACCCCCCCTCGGTGCTGATAGACGACGGGAGAGGGACAGACCCCTGTACTCCCCCGCAGCATCGAAGGGGGTCCGGCGTTCCCGGAACGTCGGACCCCCACCGGTGCTGCGAGAGGGAGGGGAAGGGACGGACCCCCTTATTCTCCCGTGGCATCGAGGGGGGGGGGGTTCTGGCGTTCCGGGACCGAAGGGGGTCCGACGTTCCCAGAACGCCGGACCCCCTCCCAAGCCCCCCCCCCCCCCCCGGTGCTGCGAGAGGGAGGGGAAGGGACGGACCCCTTTATTCTCCCGCGGCATCGGGAATGCCGGACCCCCCCATTGGTGCTGCGAGAGGGCGGGGAAGAGACAGACCCCTTTAATCTCCTGCGGCACCGGTGGGGGGAGGTGGTCCGGCGCTCCGGGAACGCTGGACCCCCATCAGCGCTGCGAGAGGGCGGGGGAGGGACGGACCCCCTTACTCTCTCGCAGCACCGAGGTGGTTCCAGCGTTCCCGGAACATCGGATCCTCCCCGGTGCTGTGAGAGGGCGGGGGAGGGACGGATCCCTTTACTCTTCCCCGACACGGGGGGGGGGGGGGGGGTCACCTGACCCCCCTCGGTGGTGCGAGAGGGCGGGGGAGGGACAAAGATGAAACGCCGAGGGGGTATGGCGTTCCGGGAACGCCAGACCCCCCTCGGTGCTGCGAGAGGGAGGGCGAGGGACGGAGATGAAACGCTAGGGGGTCCGGCGTTCCCGGGACGCCGGACCCCCTCGGGGATGCAGGCGAGGGAGGGGTCCGGCCAACCCCCGTGCCGACAGGCACGCTGGTGGGGTCTGCTATTTTGGGGACGCCAGACCCGCACACACAATGGCTGTGGGGTCCAACGTTCTAGGAATGCCAGACCTGCTACGCGGGCCGGAAGCGGAAGGGGTCCGTCGAACTCCCATGCCGCAACAAATGCTTCTTCATGTCAACTTAGTTATGTTCTCTTGTTGTCTTTTTCTGTGCGGCCCTTCAGGAAAATCAGCTTCGGGCTCCGCCCCCGAAAAACGGTCATACGGCAGGTCTAAGCTCTACCACGACAAACCATGGGCTCTTGATTGGGTCGGTGGCCTTCATACACCGGGTTGCGGAGCCATTGTCTTCTTGAGCGATGACAACGACCTGAGTTGGTACTCCTGCGGAGGGGTGGAGAAATCGGAAGCGGGGATGTTTACCTACGATGGCAGGAAGTTTAGGACCTTCTTCCTTACGTTTGTCTATGACAGAGAAGGGAAAAACTGAGTCAAGGAAGACAAGAAGGTGTCTCTTGACCATCGTCTCTTTCAAGGATACGGGGTCAAGGCTTTGTCGATGAAAGTATTTGACGTGCGCGGGAACGGAACGGAGTTCCAAATGTTGGATCCGGAAAAGTTTCTCTCCAAAACCAATGGCTACCGCGTGACTGGGTCCCTGCCCGTCGTCGACAGCGCTTTCATGCTCAGCAGACCTTTGGTCCAGTTCAACAGCCCGACGGACCAACTCGCAACTTTCGTTATGTGATACAGGGAAGAGTTCGCGAGGCTGCCTGCTGCCCAGCAAGTTGACTGTGTTTTCGTGTCGATTGACGCCCCGTCTTCGTCGGCTGCGGGCCCCAAACAGCGCCAGGATCAGCCGGCCAGAGCGGGTGGAAAGAGGAAGCAATTGGCGACTACCCCTTCTTCGTCGGTTGCGGTTGTCCAGGCTCTGCCCGCTCCTGTTCCGCCCTCGGACCGGCAAGGTCGCGATGAGGCCGAGCAGTCCAGCGAGGCCACAAACTACGACGACGGAGCTGTGTGGTATCGGGCTGGTTCCCAGCATCGTTCCCGGGGAGGTGCAGGTGCCTTCCATGATGAGGAATGCGAGGGCCAAGATGGGGAGGGCAGTGGTTGGGATGGGGAGGGCGGTGGTGAGGAGGGGGAGGGCGGTGGTGAGGGGGATGACGGTGACGAAGGAGATGCTGAAGGTGAGGATGATGACATGGACGAGGAGAGAGACGATGTTGGTGAGGAAGCCGAAGACAATCGCTCCTCCCAATTTCAGCATCCCCACAAGAATGAATCGCGGGGGCGCCGTGAGGATGACGCCTGCCGCGTCGGTGATGCGGTCGATGCTGGTGGCCAGCCTGTGGCCTCCCGCGGAATGTCGCAGTCCTATAACCAGACGAAGGATGGGAGAGACGAATCTGGCTCACGGGGAAAGAAAAAGAGGGGACAAGCGTCGACCTTTCCTGCGAGTCGAACAAAACAGGCGAGGGCCGACGCCGTCAATGAAGCTCGCAGAGCGTTGACGACATCCCAGGAAGCGCGGGTTCCTCGAAAAACTAGTGGGGGGGGGCGAAGTGGCAGTCGTGGCGGCGGTCGTGGTGGCGGTAGGAAAGGCTCGCAGAGGTCCAGGGCACCTGAGCTGCGGGACTCGGGGGATGAGGGCGAGGGGGTGGGGCCTCGCATGCCCGAAGACATTGAAGAGCTGGTTCAACACGCCACGCCCCTCGACACGACACGATGTTTCTTCCTCAAATACGACGAACAGGGCTTCGCAAGGCAAGACGTCCGTATTGTTAACGTCGACGTTAATAGGATCAAACCCATTCCCCGTGGGAGGATCCTTTTTAACCACCGTTCGTTATCTGAGAATATTGTGAGAGGCATCGAGAGTGCCATAGAAAGCTCCATCAGTGCTGAACAGGGGGTGTGGGATAGACCTGAGCTCGTTCTTGCATCGGTTGACCCCAACGTCATCGTCGGCGGGCAGGGAAGGCGAATCACGCCAGACGAGTTCTTCCAAAGAGACTCTGCAGAGTTCGACTGGTACGCTGTCTGCGGTCAGCATACTGCCGAGGCCATGAAACGGTTGGTTGCAAAGGACTTCCCCGCGGTTAAAGTCTACGGCATCCGCGCGTACTCTAAAGTGCGAGTCGTCTTTTTCCACGATGACCACACACGCGGGTACTTCAATGTCTCCCTCTTTGACAACACACGGGAGAATCGCGCCATGATGTTATCGTTCCAAGACGCTATGCGTGATATGAGGCAATGGTGGATCGACAACAACAGGATCGAGGCACCCAAAGCTAAGGTCAGCGAGACGGATGCCGTCGCCGTTGCGCATCAGAAAATGTGGCTGAACTTCCTGAGGGCCTGCATGGGGAAGGCGTGCGACAAGGCGTTCGTGAAACAGGCACTCGACAACGAATACAACAAGGATTGGAGTAACAAACTCCGGAGGTACCTGAACCTCGCCACGTCCACCCGCACGGTTTGGTCGCTGGTGGAGAAGTTCTTCGCGATGTTCGAGGAGGGTAAACTGCCAATCAGCGACGGCAAGATCCCACTTCAGATGCTGGGGAGGATGGAGGGGCGCCTGCCCGGCCCGTACACTGACGAAAGCAAGGGACAACGGACTTTGTACCATTGCATATATGTCGAGCCATTGCACTCCCTTCATTATGGACTCCATTACAGGTGGACGAAAGCCTGCTTGCACTTTTCCCACACCTGCCTGCCCGTGCGTTTGACGTCCGCACCCGCCGCGGAGGCATCCTCCTGTCACTCTGGTCTACACGGAGTCCTGGATCCGCTTCCCGACGCAAGCAATGATCGCATCCATTCCGGACGAGGATCTCCGCTGCCTTCTCCGCCGGCCGACGTCATAGACGACAAATATTGATTCCCGCCACCGTCGAGAAGCGTTTGAGCTTGCCCGCCATCTCACGCCCCGCAGCGAGCAACCCATGTCTGCTTGGCACAATCCCCATTAGGGTGGAGATTGATGATGCGTGTGTGTGTCTACACGGAAGCATTTAGTTGGCCACTTTGCCTTGGTCATTATAGCGGTATCCAGACTACAAGATGCCTCACATACAGCTATTATAATGACCTGACATTGTATTCCAGGGAAGAAGGTAAGGCTTGAGAACGAGGGATGAACAGGCTGGGCTGTCATGATGTCGATGTCAGCCTGATTTTTGAAATTTGTTTGGGTCCTTTTCTTTGCATTCATGTAAATGGAAAATAGCATTGTTTATGTGTGTTTGGGTCCTTTTCTTAGCATTCATGTAAATGGAAAATAGCATTGTTTATGTGTTTTTGAATAAGAAAAGAGGGCCACACAACGTTTTACACGATCCTAGTCGGTCAGAGCCCCTGGGGAGAGGTCCCACTAGCAAAGAGGATTGGATTGAATATCATTGAAGGCCTGAATCTGGGTGCGTTTGTGGACAAGTGCAGAAAATCGAGATTGAACTCCTTTTCTGCATCTCTGCTTAAAACACGCCCAGATTCAGGATCTTAATCCAATCCCCGTTGCTAGTGGGACCATGCTCCTGGGGCCGGGAC